TCCTTAATTACAACACCAGCTCTGAACATTTGTTTAAGAGCAAGGTCTCATCTCAAAGGGATCAGCAACGGTTTACAAGCTTTTAAAATTTTCCCCCAACAAAAAAAAAAAAAAAAAAACTCGGAAACAAAGCTCTTAAGGGACACTCTTTAGCCATGCAACAATTCCAGCCTGCCAAAATCCCTTTATAAAAGACAAGCTTAGACAGGAAAGCCAATTAACAAAGCAAAATAACAGCCCTTAAGCTCCCCGCCCATCCCTTCCACTCCGGCCCACCAACCCACACGCACGCACACATGCACATTTGCATCAGCAGGAGGAAATAGCTGCTCTGCCCATAATTACTACCTTAGTTTCAAGATGCAGATTTGTGTCTAAGGGCCCAAGTCTGCAGCTCGCTGTTCAAACATCTGCCCGCACACAAAAACAAATCAAATCTCTATAGTGCCAAGCAGGAAATCGAAAGCAAAACCTGTATTGTGCAAAAACTAAAACAGACACACACCTCTTCTTTGTCAGGGTCAGCGCTGGGTGGGATTTCGTGAGCGTGCTCCTCCTCTTCTGCAGGTTCATCTTTAGATTCTGCAGCTTTCATGTGACTATCAACAAACTCTTTAAATGAATCCAGATCACGTTTTCCTCTGTACTGATCAATCTGAAAACATACAGCATGCGCACAGCTACCGTTACCGTTTAGTGTAAACACTATGATAACTAATGGACTTAGGTTAACATTCTTTATTCATGACATATAGTTACAGTCAGTGTTGTGGAAAGTTACTTTTAAAAGTAATGCATTAAAATATTGCGTTACTCCCTAAAAAAGTATGTGAATAGAAGGTGCATGCAAGGCACGTTCCGTGGTATTTTTGGTGCTCACATGTGAGATCATTAGAGGCTAGTGCACAACGTCATGCTGTAAGTGGTGGGCTGTGACATGTGATGTGCTGTGTGTGTATGTGTCTACTCATGCATGTGCTTTCAGGGTGTATACTGAGCCACAATGTAAATGAGGTAAACTAGCTTGGTTTTAAACCAGCTACTAATAAAGAGGCACAGATGTTACTTTAGATTCAGTTTAGCCTATTTAAATGTGTCATTTAGCAGATGCATTTAATACAAAAATAAATCCTAGCTGAAAAGATCACCAGCATGTTGTGTTTTGGAAGCTAGTATACTAGTGTCCAGTGTTGGGGAAAGTTACTTTTAAAAGTAATGCATTACAATATTGCGTTACTTCCTAAAAAAGTGACTAATTACGTTACTTAGTTACTTTTTATGGAAAGTAATGTTATATTACTTTTGCGTTACTTTTTAAATGTAAGCAGGGCTTGATTGTTTTTAATATAAGAAGTTCTATTTATAGCAAATATAAAAGCCCTTTCACACCAAAAATTGTAATGAATAAACCTCAGGCTGAAGCAAAAGTAAATTCACGTCTGTACAGTAGAACGCAGGAGAAGAAACACTCTTCAGCAATAAAAAAAACAAAGCACAATTGTTAGTTTCTCTAAAGTCATTTTTGCTTATTAGTATGGTTGAACTGGATCATCAAAGGTCAGCAGCAAAGATATTGGTTAATAAAATGGGATTAGATACATTTGTGTTATTTAACATATGTAATTATTGCAGGTTTGCGTCATATTCTGAGTTTGCATTTCACTGTTTTAATTCATTTTGATGAATACTAAATCTGTTTTTTGTGAGTGGGATGAATTAATGCACATTCACATTTAGTCTAGAACTACAGCAACATCATATTCACACAGCGCACACAACGCCTCTGTACTCCCGATTACTCCAAATATGAGGACGGGAGAGCTGTCAGTCTATAAATGGGAAAACAAAGTAACTGGCATTACTTTTTTGAAAAAGTAGCTCAGATATTTTCTTGTAAATTAAAAAAGTAATGCGTTACTTTACTAGTTACTTGAAAAAAGTAATCTGATTACGTAACTCGCATTACCAGTTACCCCCAACACTGGTTACAGTTTGATTTATGATAATTGATATTGCAGTTTTACAAGTGAAAAATAGTGCAGGAATTTCCTTCCATGGTTGTGAGGATGTAGGAAGCATAGAAAATGTAACAGAATATCTGAAAATGAAAAAAAAGGGTAACATCTGGGGTAATGTTTTTTTTTTTTTTTTTTAATTAAGCTTTATTCATTTTTTTTTATTATTATTAAGTTTTATAAATTTTTTATAAGTTATTCAGCAAGGATGCATTAAATTGATCAAAAGGGACAGGAAAGCCTACATGCTCTTTTGATCTTTCGATTCATCAGTTTCCACAAAAAAAAATATGAATCAGTACAACTTGCAATATTGATGATTATAAATGTTTCTTGAGCACCAAATCAGCATATTAGAGTGATTTCTGAAGGATCACACGACACTGAAGAGTGGAGTACTGAAAATTCAGCTTTGCATGACAAGAATAATTTAGATTTTAACATATGGAAATGGAAAATATTTAGTTACTTTAAATTGCAGTTTCTCAGCATTGGAGTTTTACTATATTTTTAATCAAATAAATGCAGCCTTGGTGTGCATAAGAGACTTCTTTAGCAAATCTTACCAACCTCAAATTTTTGAACAACAGCATGTATACACACTGATATTTATCTTAAGAAATGATTCCACTCTAGATATTCTTACCTTCTCTCCATCAGTGAAGAAGAGTAGCGTGGGATAACCACGAACCTGATTATCTGAACACACCTCATAGTGCTGTGTGCAATCAACCTTTAGCAAGCAAAATATATAAATATCAGAAAACAGAAGTCAATTTACAATACAGAAAAAAACAAGAGAGAAACCACAATGGCCTCTCTCACCTTGCAGATCTTGACGGTGTCTGAATGCTCAAAGCTGGTGGCGAGCTGTTCCCATGTTGAAGCCATGGCTTTGCAGTGCCCACACCACGGCGCATAGAATTTCACAAAGTGAGAACCTGTAGAAGACAACTGCAGGGTTACAGCCTCAAAATGCAACAAGAATCCATGTCTCAAGTAGGATAACATGGACTACATAATGGCTTTAATCATAACTGATCAAAATGATCACAGATTACAGAAAATGTGGTGCTGCAGTGCAGACTGCACATTAATACACGAAGAGAAGCGAATTTAGCGTGTCAACTCACGGCTAAACTATTCCACAGTCATGCCACCCACAATGATGTTACAAGAAACATCACAAATTGTGTGAATTACGTGTACACAGTACAGCCCTGAAATGTGGAAATATATTAATTTAGCATGATGCGTACATTAAATGAAGATGTATAAGCAAAACTTTTGGTTATTAGAGTTAAGCAACATCATTAACATGTGCTTCAAACATCTGAAGCTGGGAGACATAAACAGTTCTGTAAAAGCCAGAGCATCATTTCCTGCCTCTCCTCCAAACAGGAATCATTTATTTGGCTAACGGACGGAACATGTAACATTTAAAGGGTGTTTGAGAAGAGGGCTGAAACTGTACCAAAGCCAAGACCATAATTCATCTCTGCTGCCAAAGTTATTGTCATAGAGAGAACCTTATGGGAATAACAGAACCCCAATTAAAATCCTGATGAGTGCTCAATGAAAGTGCAGAAAAGCAGGAGCTCTTATCATTTACAGACACACACACACAAAAAAATAATAATAACAACCTACCTACAATTAATGGCAAATGAAATGTTTAGAAATATAAACTGATATTTCCTACTGACACACTACAGCAAAATATAGAAATAACTGGCTTAAAACCAATTTTTTGTTGGTGAAAATACTAATGGCCTAAGACAAGACTTTTGTGTGTGTGTGTGTGTGTGTGTGTGTGTATGTATATATAAACATTCAATAAACAGGTTAGTTGCCAGGGTTTTAATATGGTTGTATTAATTATCATTGTACCTATACCAGCCATTTGTGATTACCGGACATCTTAAAATGTAATCCAATGACAAACTATTTAAATAATAATAAATATGATTATTATTATTCTACATTTACTATTGATTACAAGATTGTATTTAATGTCTTCAGTCATGGAAAAGTCCATTTTAAAATGTTGTTATATTTTCACATTTTCCTTAACTGTGTGTCCATGTGTGCAGGGTGACAGTGAAGTAGTGACTTTTTGTTTAAATGCTTCACTTTCAAGATGATGAATTTGTAATTTAACAGTTATACAAAGCTGTAGAGAACTTGATAAAACATAAAAAAGACTAAATAAAGTTAAACAATCAACCCAAGCTGATACAACACAGTGGTATTAAAAAAACAATTATCATAACGTAAAACATTATATCATTACTTTGTAAAACAAATGAATCGTCAATCAAAATTGATATATTGTTAAAATGGGTTGCCGGCTACTACCTTTAGAGATGTGTGGTTTGAAGTTTGTGGCTGTGAGTTCATACAGGCCCTGTTTGGGTTCAGGGACTTTGGGTGGCTCGGGTTCAGTCTGAGGTTCCTGGGGTGAGATGGGGATAGACCAAATAAGAAGTGCTGTAATATTGTGACGTTTTAGAATTACACCTTGACCAGTCCATGTATTACACAAAGCACTTTTAAAAGCCAGTATAAGAGTATGTTTCTAGTCATACAAATATTTGAGCAGTTTTATGATCTTACTTCCGGTTCATCCTGCAGGGTTTTCAGCATCCAGCTCTCTAACGCCTGCAGGTCTCTCGGGCCCTGATACTTCAAAGCCTCCTGATCAGGTTTAAACAACTTCAGACTGTAAAGCAAACACAAAGTTAGTCGGTCAATGATTAATCAAACCACATATAATTTTTACCTTAGGCACATGAATGTCAGGTGATTATAAATCATGCATATAAAATGTTTTACACACACAACATCTAAATAATTTTACTGTAATTTTACATTTTGCATGAAGCATCTTAAAATGTATTTTTTTGTTACGTACAGCACTAGTAACAGTGAAGTAATGCTTACGTTGGGTATCCACGGATCCCATGTTCACTGGAGCAAAACTTTGTGTCTTTTGTGCAGTCGAATTTCACAACATACACTGGAGGAGCCTCCATACTGTTATATTTATCTGCCAGCTCATTCCACGTTCCCTGCAGCCGCTGACAGTGACCACACCTGCACACCACAAACATATTCAAACACATTTATCACATCATTAAAGGGGTCATCGGATGCCCATTTTCCACATGTTGATATACAATAAAATACAGTACCCAGAAGAAAAAAAACTAAACAAAAAAACACTTTAAAATCAAAGACTATGGTGGTGTGTGTAATTCAGGAATACCGTTTAGTGGTTTAGAATCACTAAATTGATTGAGAGAACTGTGGTATTTTTTGGCGTATTTTTGTTTAAATGCCCTGGTATTACCATGGTACAAGACCAAAAACGAAGAGGGAAAAAAAAAACATGACATGATATTTCTACATAGTATAAACCTTAAAAAATATACATAAAGACCATGGTACCACCATTGCAATTTTTTTTTTTTTATGAGGATGAGGAAGTGATGTCTGATGTCGTGGCTGTTCATGCTTTGCCACGTAACGTTACACTAAAACTTTATGACTGCAGGAATTTAAACTTTTTACCAAAGTCTATTATCATCACTCTAATGTCAAAAAATGGTGCTTCGTGTCTTTACTAAACTTGACATCCACTTCATCCAAAACTGACTTACCTCTGTAGAGTAAAGTGGCTAATGGAGTCACTTCAAACATCGCAGCAAATCAACTCAGAACTAGCATAACGGCATTGATCTCAATGCATTTACCATTTCGTATATCTCTCAATATAATGAAAATATTTGATGAAGGTGTTGTTTTACCAGGGCGCGTAGAACATGACGAAGTGTGGAGCAGTAGAGACGGCATCATTGAACATCTCCACCGTGTATGTGTGTTTGGCGTGCTCATCCTCTTCTGTGTCATTATCACAGCATATCCTACTACACAACAACGCCAAATAAATAAAACTCGTTAAAAACGGCGCCATGTTCATAACAGAGCAGGCCTGTGAATGAAGCGGAGCTATGGGTTTTAAATGAGTGAGTGAGCAGACAGAGCTGATCTGTACAACATCCAAACAGCGATCAGCAGAGCTGTTGAAACGAGCCGTGGGATCTGTAGATCTGTGAACTGCGCAGACGCTCTCATCCGTGCTGCGCATCCGGGCACCGGTGTACGGAGGCTGATAAGAGCCATGAATTTGAAAAACAAAACAAAAAAAACAAACTTGTTTTCTCGACATACCAAATGAACACAACATAATTTAAACTGCATATAATGGATATAAATCACAATTTATTTTTGATTTATTAAATTAATTTTTTTTATAATATGGAGTCGAGCAGAAAGTAGTACTTGTAAATATTAAGATTCATTTCTGTAGCTCTGACTAATTTTACACTGTAATTTTGCCAGCCCCTGAAATGAGTTATACCAACATTACCTGAGCGGTTAAAGAATACGCTAACGCTCATTCAAGGACGTGAATTTAAAGGGTTAGTTCACCCAAAAATGAAAATTCTGTCATTGATTACTCACCCTCGTGTTATCCGAAACCCGTAAGACCTTTGTTCATCTTCGGAACACAATTTAAGATATTTTTGATGAAATATGAGGGCTCTCTGACCCTCCCATTATTTCGCAAGTATGGAGAACAGCGATAGATGGACGGACGCTGAATAGATGATCGACAAAGTAGTCCGTGTGACATCAGTTCAACTGTAAAGTCACGAAGCTACGAGAATACCTTTTTGCGCAAAGAAAACAAAAATAACGACTTTATTCCACATAAATAAAAAGCGAGATGCTAACTCGTGCCCTCTCAAAAATCATGAGTGCATGGTCGTCGGTATGACCGAGAGCCATTGAAAAACTACAGAAAAGTAAAACTACTTCACTTTAGCATTACTGGCCATGAGTACTAAGGAGAGATCACACATCAGCTGCTCAAAAAATGTGTCAGAGACGAACTGAGCGCGAGCGCAATCCTGTGACAGTCACAGGCAGAGGCAGACAGTAACTAAGCACATTTACTTGAGTATTGTACTTAAGTACACTTTTTGTGTATCTGTACTTTACTTGAGTATTATTTTTTCTGGGAACTTATGACTTTAACTTCACTACATTTGAAAGACAAATATTGTACTTTTCACTCCACTACATTTCTATCAAGGTCCTCGAAGTAGAAAGTCGTTACTATGTAGCAGCTTTGAAAGTCAGTGGGGGATTTTTTTTCTTCTCTAAAACGTGACTTTCTTTTTTTCAGACAGTTTATCAGTAATCACTCTTGTGGGGCTACATGAAGTGATTTCTCAGCATTTTTTGAACACTGACCAGTTGCAAATGTGATATTTATTTACAACAATTCAATAATAGGAAGTTAATATTGTGGTATATATTA